ACTGGCTGCACGTAGCAGCAACTGAACTTCTTTCCAAGTGAAGTAGTCTGGTAAATAATCATTATGCCGACTAAAGTGGAACTTAGCATAGAAATTTCCGTTCTTAACCACGATTCCTCAGCTGTTCCCAATCATGTACAATTGAAATTTGGGAAGCACAATGCCAACTTAAATGGTTGTTTTAATTGTGTATTTGTCTAAAATACACATGTGAGTAGGAAATGTTATAAGAATATTTTTATAAAATTTGCTTCAGAAAATGCAATCTGGTTTCACTTCAGTTGTGGAATCCTTCCCAGCACCAAGGAAAAATGGAACAGGTATTGGGGGTTTGAAGTTTCAAAGTTGCTGTGTTTTGACACTACTTTATTTGAACCACAATTACAGTCTTGCCATGCAAGCAGTGTTCTTGCAATTAACCTTGAAATCTGAATGTCCTTTACCTTTTCTAGTGGAAGTGCTGGCACATTTAATAGGAGTCCAGATGAAATCTTGAGCAGGGAATATCCCTGCAATGACCAGGATAATTTATTTGATCTCTCCTGCCTCCTAACTTTTTGTGAATCCCCAGAGTAAACCACTGCTTGATCAGAGCAAATCAGGGTGTTGGTATTTGCTTTTTTTCCATTTGATACGGTCTGGGGAAAATGCTACCAGGTTGGCTTGGAGGACGTGAACATCTGTGACAGATGAACTTGATGCTGAGCTATGCGTTTTGGGAGAAGCAGTCTTTACCCACATTAGCATTTTGTAGAAGTGTGGAGTAAGGGAAGGAAATAAATGTGAATCTTGAAAGCAAAATTGATTGGAAAGGCTGCATTTGTAAGTAAAGTGGGTTATAAAACTGGAGCTGACAGAGGCCTTTAAAAAGCTTGTGCTAACTTCTGATTTAGTGTTCTGTGTCTTGGAGGATCAGAGCTGGAGAGCTGAATGCACTGCCTGTCACACTGCTGTATGTGTTTAAAAATAGCTGTAGACCAGCCTCAAAGTTGCCAATACGTAATGGGCAGGAATCCATGTTTTTCAAAACCTCCTGAGTGAAGCTGAATAAAAACCATAAAAGGGGTACTGTACCCCACACAAGCCACGAAACTGGAGATTGGGAAATGCTACATGACTTGGCTATTGATTTTCTGAGGCAGTAGCAGTCATACAGAGAGCCAAGAAACCCAGAGAAGTTGGTTTGCCAGTGGGAATGGACAGTTTCTATTGCAAGTTGCAGATTATCTGAGACTAGCTCTAGATTGGGATGTGTCCTGAGGAAAAGCAGGGCTTTGTACTTCACCAAAGTTTGGCACTGCCCCACACTAGACAGTATCCTAAATAAACTAGACTCTTATCCTAAATATTGACATTTTCAATGTTGAAGACAGGTGTAGCTCCAACTAGGGGAAAAAAAGTTCCTTTCTGGCAGATGTATCCAACTCATCCTTTGAACAGAGCGGTAGCACTAAGCCTTGTTTGTTTTGGTATGGTAATGCCAAAGGGCAGAGGTGGCAGTGCATGGTTACCAGTCATGTCAGCTTGGCTGTTTTGCAAGGCAAATTTCTCTCTATCTGCATAATAACTTTTGCAGGCATGAAGGACTGAGGGAATGTGTTGTTCCCCACCGCTGCCTTCATTCCCCATATACTATTTGCTGTACCCAACTGCCTGCAGCTTTAATATGACGCTCATTAAAGAAGTCCCAGATCAATTGCACGGAGAGAAGTGGGGTGGGCTGTCCTGAGCTTCTGGAGCCGTAATAATGTGCAGGCCAACAATGGGCCCAGTGTTCTTTCTGCTGATGATTAAATACTTGGCTCATAAATACCAATATTATGTAATTCCAAAATCAAGTCCACAAATTGCGACCATATGGGAGACTCTGTGTTTGGGAAGATTTGAGTCTTCCAAAGTCAGTCTGAGGTACAAAATAGGCTTCTCATCAGGAGCTGGTGAGACCAGCAGTAGTGACTTCATCATCTATCTCTCCTCATGCCCGTCACCTCCTCACTTGAGATTAAAAGCATGAGCCAAAGGCCTGTGGGGTTATGTGGGTAGACCCAGGACTGTTATGTTTGCTTGAGCCCTGGCAGTCAGCATTGCTGCCTCTTTGGAGACCATTTCCTCATTAGTGTGATGGGCAGTGACTGCAGGTGGGGACCAGCAGGATGTCTTCTTCCCAAGAGGCTCAATTTTAACAAGTGCTCAGTACATCCAGTCATCCACAACTTAGTGGGGATGTTTGAGCACATGTGGTATGTTCCTGCCACTGTGTCCTTGCCTCATCTCAGTGTAAAACCACGCCAAGGCTATGGCATTTAGAGGGAACCCGGACCTTCTTTCCATGTCTTTTGTTCTAAAGGAGCCCTGACAACAATTTTTGTGTTCCTGCCTGAGGTTTATTTAGTTCTAAGAACTCTGATGAGTTGGACTTGTAATAATGGGTACCAAAGGCTTTTAATTTTCTGGGTAAATTGAAATCTGGCTCCCACTGTCACAGCACCTACTGGTGGTGGTGAATGCAGGGGGTACCTTGCTCCTTGATAGTCATGTTTCTTCCAAGGAGTCTGCTGGGGTGTCGCAACCTGGGAAGAATACACTTGGTGCTGGATATCTCCATGTTTCTCTAATGAGCCTAGGACAGACACAAACCTCAGCAGCCTTTGGAGTTTCCTGCCCATCTCTTTAACCAGTCCCTGCGGTGATGAGGTTATCATCTGCTGAGGGTGGTCAGCACTTCTTTGGTTGACTCTGAGAATGATTGTATTTTCCACAGAAGTGGTGCAGCAGGGAAAAGCACTGACCGTTTTGTACTAGACAGGAAAATCACACGTATCGCTGTAACCAGAATAAGCAGCTTCAGAGAACTGTCTGGTATCTTCATCTGTAGCAGGCACATCTATGTTTTCAGTCTGAATTTATTCTCATCCACAAGAGGAATGAAGCTGGAGAGAACAGAGTGAACACTATGAGGGAGCATGCACACTGCGTCTCTGACAGGCTGCTCTGAACTAACCTGGAGCAAAGCTTGCTTCTGTGGACACAGTGAGGTCTTTAGGTGGCTAAAGGTACCTTTTGAAACAGAGGTGTGCCTGGCACCTACCAAAAAGCATCTCACAAATGCTAAGGAAGGCTTTACACCTGGTGGATGTTTCTCTATGAAAAGATTGTATTTTGATATGAGCAGGCTTGCTTAATGCAACAGAATACCACAAATGATTTTTTTTTTCCCCTTATCTTCCCCAGTTTTAGATACAAGCTTTTGGATGATAGACTTGAGAAGAATGGAAGAAAGATTTTTATGGACAGATCTCTCTTTTTTGTCTTATTTTCATTCTTTGCTTCTTTTGCCAGAATTGTTCTTTTACAAGTGTTTTATGAATGAGCAAAGGAAAGAGCTCAAAGGAGAAATAGCAAGAGAAGAGAACAAGTTTTTAGGGTAAACTTTTTTCTCACTAAAACAACTCAGAAAGGACAACACCAACAAATTTTCTGCCAGTTTTAAAAAGCTTGAAATAGGTCAATTGCCTGTCAATGTTGCTCACATTGATGAGTTTCTGCATTGGAGGGACAGGCTCCTAAGAAGGGATGGGCAGCTGCTGGGAGATGGGTCACAGTGCCATCACCTCAGACGGCCCCTTCGCCTTCCTCCAGTGATTAACAGGAGGTGGCTCCCTGCAGTGATTACTGTGTTTTAAGCAGCTTGGTCCAGCTTGGAACAATTACCCAGCTGCCTGGGCACTGAGAGCACAAGCTCTGGGCTCTGCTGTCTTTGGGATATTAACCAACGCCAGTGTAATTCAAGGCAACTGGAAGCCAGTGCTGTTGAACGTCATCTCTTATTTGGTTCTGGGAGACAAGATGCTGGTGGTTTGTGAGATCAGTGAGCAGTTCTTTCAGAAGAAGGACCAGGCTGTCACACTAGCTTTGCTGCGTTTTGCTGTAAAAGGTCTCCCTACAGTGGTCTTTATGCATAGTTAGCCTTTTAAGCCTTCCTGCCAAAGAGTCAGCCAGTACAGACAGCAGCAGTAATGCAGCAGGTTTGTTTGACATCAGGGCTAATTAGCAATTATTCAAATCTTGGAGCAAGCTTTTTCAGATCTGATTTCCACACACACCCCCCCCCAAGCAAGCTAGGCATAAAATTCCATCTGCCTAATTTGCAAATGCAGTTGCTTTAATTATGCATCCAAATTGAGAAAGTGTATGCTCAGAAGATAGACAGCTAATTCTACGCATCTGATATCATAGAATCGTTATGGTTGGAAAAGACCTTTAAGACCATTAAGTCTAACCGTTATCTAACTATACCATGCCCACTTCTAAACCATGTCCCTAAGCATCATATCTAGATGGCTTTTAAATACATCCAAGGATGGGGATTCCAGCACTTTCCTTGTGCAGCCTGTGCCAGTCTTTATAATCGTTTCAGTGTAAAAGTTTTTCCTAACGTATAACCTAAACCTCCCCTGGCGTAACAGTTTAGTTTGTTGTTTTGTTGCTGTTACTCATGCAGTTTTGCTTTACACAAAGGGATAATTTTCTTTGCCCAGACCAAACTTCTACCAACAAGGACCAGAACACAAGGGTTAGATGCTGCAAATGTACCTGCTGCTACATTCAAGACATTTTCTACCCTAAAAAGTAGCAGGTGCAGGGAAGCATGATAGAGCAGGGGGAGCTGAGGAAAGGAGGACACAGGAATGTGGATCGTGATAGCTGATTGTGAAGACAGTGGCTGGAAGGCTGGAGAAGGGGTTAGAGAGCTCAGCCAGGTACATCAGCAGCCTCTGCTCTGCCTTGCTTGTGTTCTTCCCTGACCTCATTTATTGGCACTGTAGTAGCAAACCCTGGTACTGGTTTTCCTCACACCCCATGTAGGTTACCCTGTGATCATGCTGAGACTTGATTCCTACATCTCCAGCCTGGTGCTGCCAAACTGGCACTGATCTCCCCAGATGATTGTGCCAAGCCTTGCTTTGTCCTCATGGTTTCTTCCTTTTGTTTTTACCCAGATGAGCAACAAAAGGTCAAATAGTTTCCGCCAAGCCATCCTTCAGGGGAACAGGAGGCTGTGCAGCAAGGCGCTGCTGGAGGAAACGGGTCTGAGCCTTTCGCAGAGGCTGATCCGGCATGTTGCTTATGAGACCCTGCCACGAGAGATAGACCGCAAGTGGTACTACGACAGCTACACCTGCTGCCCTCCACCCTGGTTCATGATTACCATCACTATCGTAGAGGCAAGTACCTTAACGCCCTCTCTCTGAGAACTCACCCCACACTGCCAAAGGCTTTGCTAGGACACGTACAAGGGCTAGAGTGGGACTTGTTTAGACCCAGATAAGGACCCAGTTTAGACCCAGGACAAGCACAAAGCTGATAGCCATTTTGGCTTACATGTATGCGTGTGGGTAAGTGGAGACTGTGATCTTGTTTGTTTCCAGGCATGGTTATTAGTCATTGAAACAATTTGTATAGGAAACTGTAGAATTTGGGAAGCTATAGCAAAACTTATTGAGGAGTGAAAATCTGGACAGTTCTAGGGAAACTGGTAATTCAAATAATGGAATTAGAAGAAAAATTCCTATACGGTTACCTCTGCTCTGCGAATGAAGAGAAAATAGACTAAATATTCTGACACACTCATCTGTTGCCCAAATGAGATCTTTGCAGTGTTGCTGAGTAGTGTGCTGGAGGAAGCACAAAAAAGGATATAAAATGGCACTGAACAGTAGGGTGATGAGTTCCTCTGACTCAGTGGCTGGTGTGTTGCAGAAAGCCACATACAGAGTTATACCAATGTGTTGCAGGTTCCTCAAAACAGGGAACTTTCATGCTGTGTGAAGCTGTCAAATGAGAGAAAAATTATTGTTTGTTTGATTTCCTTCTCCATGATTTTGAGCTACAAAGTGCTTTTCAGCAAGAGAAGGCATTTGCTAACCAAGGAATCTTCCTGCTCTTCTAGGTTGCCTTTTTTCTTTACAACGGAGTGGTATTAGACAGATTTGTGCTGCAGGTCACCCATCCCTTATACCTGAAGAATGCATTACTTTACCATCCTCAGCTCCGTGCTCAGGCTTGGAGGTACCTAACCTACATATTCATGCATGCAGGGTGAGTACTTACAAACTGTGGAGATTCCCCACAGTTCAGATTCCCCAGAGAGAGGGAAGAGGAGGAAGGGACAGAATCAGCTCAGAAATAAATTTTTAAAAATCCATTCTAAATTGCATATAAAAGTCTGAAGCTGTTGCGGAGTGTTGGGCAATGAGGGGCAAACCTTTGCAGCTCTCTGAAGGAAGGAGGCAACATAAAGAGCCTAACAGAGGCTGTACTTCTCCCCTGCAGTGTTGGGACCATACCTTCCTCTTACTGTGCACTTCCCAGTGTGTGCTTTCTAAAACTCACCAGATTGAAGCCCAGTGTCCCTCTAGGGGAACTGTGCCAAGTGGTAGAACAAGTCTGCAAGGGTGCTGGACTAGTATTTAAAAACTACATGGTGTGTTCTTGCTAGGCTTCCTAGTTGAGGTTGGAAAAGTCAAATAAATTCTCTGTGTATGTCATCACTTAGTAATGTTGTCCCTTCTGTAGGGACTGAGATAAGTCAAGACCGAACTCACATTCTGTACACACTGTATAAACACCAGTGTTCCTGAAGAGCTGACAATCTCAACTGACCAGGTGGACAGAGAATGGTCCATCTAACGCAAAAAGCATAATGAAGGTGCACAGTAAATGAATCCCCCTTTATCCTATGGGAGCTACGTAGCAGACTTGGGAAGAGAATACAAAGCACTGGGGATTCTAACTCTGCTTCTCAACTGTGCTCGTCTTCCCAAGACTCAAAGGGACTTTAATTATGTGATGTTTGTGATGCCATGGTGATGGGTGAGTGTCACAGGAAAGTTCATCCCTGTACAAAACACTCTACCCCCTCTGAGTAGTTTCTCAGATCATTATCTTCACACATTCCTGGCAGATAATCGCAATTTTCTTTAGTTCTGTCATTGAAAAATCACAGCAACAAGCTTTTTAGCAGTAGTTTATAGTTTGAAACTGGATAAAGACCCTTTGTTCTTAAATAGAAAGCCTATATTCCCATCAGTCAATGTTCTCCTATGAAAGGCCAGAAAGATCAAGCTGATCTTTTCCTTTTTCCATGTCTCTGATGGAAGGCATGCTGATGTCTCTTCTCTGCCATGGAATAACTGCCTCTGTGTGTAATTGCACTTAAGCACAAGATGTGCCTTAGATCTCTGGATAAAAATCATAGGACAGAACAGGCTCCACCCAAGGGGAGAGCAGGAAAAAAATGATAGATGAAACTTCTGAACATGGCAACATCTGTACTCCGCACACTAAATCCCTCCAAAAACTCCACTGTATACAGGTTTCAACCTGCAGGTGGAGACTCTTGGGCTTAGATGTGAGGCTGGTTACGTAAAGTGAGAATTGGAAACTTCCGTTGATGAGGATGTGAGGAAAACTGGGCTTGTAAAGGTTGAAGCACTTGATTTTAACTAACGTTAGCTAATTTGTATCTGGGTTTTCTTCTGGTGCTGGTGGTGTTCTGCTATATCACTTATGTAACCACGGGATACATTTGAAGAGAAGAACCTGCACAAAGACAATTTTTGCAGTATTTAAATATCTTCCTGTATCACCTGTGGCATGCTTTTTCCTAACCTGTGCAAGGTCACCCTTTCCTGCAGCAGGCAGTATTCTGGCATTCTTCACACTTACTGGCTGAAAAATATCTCAGGTTTATTTCACATCAGTGGCTAGCTCGGGGATGAACAATGGGGAAAGGGGTTTGCAGGAGACTCATTCTTTTTGTGATGGATTCCAAGTCCTTTAGCTACGTAGCCTTCTAAACAATGGAGAGTCCTGCTGGAACAATAAACCCTGTGACTTATCTGCAGTAGCTGGAGTTAGGCTAGATGTTCATTTATTGCTAACTTCTGTGTGTTAAGCTCCTTTCATATCAGGAGAACAGATAAATCTTAGACAGGTAATAACATTTGTTAGTGGAAGCCCATCATTCTCCTCTCGTTTCAAATGAGAGGCTAACACAGTGCCATGGGGTCTATTGTTATCTTGCTTCCAGCTGAGACTTTAAAATGGTAATGTGGATTGCTCCTTAATTTAGTGCAGTCGGTCTCATTTTTTGAAGAGCAAGTGGCAGTCAGAAGGTGTCCGAGAAGACAGCAGTTGCTAAGGCTTGGCTGGCTGTGCCTCTAGAAGGATTCCAAAAATGCATGGGCTGTGTGTTGATCCTGATGGAAGGAGCTTTGTCAAGGGCTGAAAAGGCAGGCAAAGTTGTAAATTCTGCCCTTCTGCTTTCATGGAAAGCAGACGTTGATTATCTGAGGCCCACGCATTTGTAACACTGCCATAACTAATGACTTGCATTGATGCTCAGTCTCATTTGTTTGGTCCCAGGGAAGGAGAAAGTCTTTAATAAATCAATGAAATTGTCATTTCAAGAATGATGCATTCAGCACTGGCAAAGGCTAATTATATTTTATGGGTGCTTATTGAGCAAGCTCTTAGCATGATAGGGAGGAGACGTGAATGGGATTGCTCCTGGAAAGACTTTTAAGATCAGCTGTGAATCAGGGCAGTCACTTTAGAGCCCAGGATAAACTTTGCCGAGCTCTCACAAAAGCTTCCTTTGAAAAATAAGACCCAGTGCTTTGTGTGAGAATGTCGTGAGGTGCTGCCTCATGACGTTGACTGTGCGCCAGCCAAAGCCTCTTCCCTCCCCTCTGTAAAAGGGCACTTGGATGCTTTGACTCTTTTTTTGTGATCTCAGTTTGACCTTTGCTCATTGTTCCTAATTCAGTTCCTAAGTTCTGTGAACATGCAGAATCAGAACTGGTGCCAGAATATGCCCGTGCCCAGTGGCTTCAAAAGTCTGGAGCAAGATAATAAAAACACTCAGTTACACACAGTGGTTTCCCATGATGACAAATTGCAGTACTGAATGTCTTCTGCAGGAGAGAAATTTATCCTTGGAGAGAAATTCAGTAGAAACAAACCTATTAAGATATCCGGAATGAACTGTTTCCTGCAGCATCATTTCTAGCAGTTTTTTCCGGTCCAACTTGAAATTCTCAATTATGAGACTGTTCTGTCGTTACTCCATCTCACCATCAGCCGTTTTCTCTGATGCATATAGGAAATTGCTATGGTAACATGAAGAAAGACCAAAACAGTGAAAATGCATATAAGTGAGACCAAAGATTTCTGGTGGCTGTGTATGAGCAATCCTTGTCTAAAATAGGACGTAGACTTTCAATGCATTAG